ACTTCTTGATAATTCTTTCGAGGTGAATCATATTGGAGAGAGAGAAGCGAATCGCAATAAGTAGAATAGTATCTCAGGCAGCATGCAATGTGTGTGTTTTTTTTTCTGCCCTTTCCAAAACCGACAAAAAAGCCTGGGGTCAAAAAAAAGCCTGCACTTTTTCTTTTCTTTTTTCTTTTCAGCTGTGTATAATGTACAATGATTGGCACGAAGTCCACCCGGTTGAAACCAGGAGGGACTGTCAAAACAGCAAAGGAGTCCGTCCGTCCGGCCATCCCCTCCGGCTTTCCCATTCAAGTATCTATCATCTGCATCTCCGCATATAGTAATAGATCCGAACGGGATGAAAACTTCCCTAAAGATAGATGCCCTGCAAGCAAAAAGGGCTGCATGGCCCTATGTACGTGTCCATGTCGTACGAAGACCAGGCAGGAAACGGGAGCTTAGCCGAGAGCTGTATGTGTGTATTATTTACATACATATCAAGCCCTCCTTCCTTGTCAAATATCTCGGAAACTCCCTGTGGCAATTCTATACGTATTATATAGGTATGATAATTGATGCGATCCTATCTTTAATAGTTCTGATTCCTTTACTAGATTCAAGTGCCGCTACCGCGGCGGACAATCTAAATTCGCTTGCAGAGGTCTAAAATCCCTCTGGCAGAATATCGAATCGTTGATTACGATAAGCCGTACTAGCAAGAGATGTGTTTTAGAAAGAGGCTACAATGGGACTTTGTGCTGTAGATATCTGTATATATCCGCCCCGTGGTTTTCGGTCTTGGTCTGGAATACAGACTATATACAGCGAAAGGTCCATGTGCTTTAAGAATCTAGTTTTACGCATCAGCTTTTGATAGACCTTTATACCCGGAAAGACTTCAGGTACTCCACAGGACCTTTCGGAGATACTTCAATCGTGGTTGGTTAAGTTTATATTGACGAAATGGCGAGATCTGGTCGGGCGGTTTGCAAGTGTTGAGAGCCTAGCCGTTTCGAAGACCGACTCAGCAAAGCTCGCTGAAGTTCGTATTAGAGCAGGGCGATCCCCAATCAAAGATCCCTAATCAAACAACATGAATTCTACACAGCAACTATTTGATTTAAACTGAAAGGAAGTACCCATACCCCATCACTTCCAAGTTTAAGCCACCACAACCTACAATGTCTGCGTCAAGATCTCAACCGATTGGAAATCGTCAAGCTCTTTATCAGATACCATTTTACAAAACTTTCGGCGCCGAGCTCTCCACCATCCCCGTCGGCTCGTCCTCTTGATCGACGGCGTTGTTACTCTTAGGTGCCTCGACCTCACGGGGCTCAGGAAGCAAGACACCCGGCAACCAGTCCACCCTGCTCTCGAGAATCCTAGTCGCGCGAACCTGGTGGCAATCTTTCCCAAAATACCGCTCGGTTATGAAGCTGACGTATCCAGCCAATCATCAGCTTGAGGGAGGAAAGGGGGCTACAAGCGGAGCATGTTGTTCCGACTTACCTCCAATTCACATTCGCCAACGCCACATCCTGAATGCCTGTACGTAGCGCGAGATCTCCCGCGTCGATTTTCTCGCCCCACACGGGAGCGTCAGCCATGGTCAGATGCCACAGCTCGTGGCTCGCGCGCAGCATCTTGTGCGCTTCATCGTAGGCCCCCTGTTAAGAGAAGCCGTAGTGGCGGAGGAGGTGGATTATGTTGCAAGGGCAGTTTTGGTCCTGGGATAATCAATCATCAACGCAATTCATCTTTCTAGAACCGGGCTTGGTTGCTGACCTTTTCCCTGTGATAAGAGACGCAGTCGTTGACGCTGCAATCTGTGAGCGGGGGTGGAGGGGGGGGAATGTTGTTCTGAATTGGCGAAGAAGGATATCTGGATCTCGATGCTGATCTGCTCGAGCTGCATGATCGCTTGGTTTTGGAACACAGCATTGGGATCTGCAGCTCGTCTTGCTTGTCAGCAACAGACGCCACGAGTTTTCCAGGGCGCGCGGCTTACTCGACGAAACTAAACAGAGAAAGCATCGCGAACGTGTGGATGTGGTACTCCATGAATCCAGCAATGGTCTCCTGCAGCGAAGGTCTCGGCTCAAAGTCGATCGACTTCCCCAGTGCGGTGAAGTATTCTCTGGTATGCTCCAGCCAACGCAGTTTAGAGTCTATGAGATAGATCAGCGGCGCCTTAACAGCTCGGAGGTGTGCGAACCCAGTGAGCACTTGGAGTCCTGCGTCTATCATTCGTGGTTCGCCAAAAGGTAAGACTTTTGTTCACTTCTCGGACTCGCTTCCAGACGCCTTGGATCACCTGCCGGATGGGCTGGATTGCACCGTATTGCTCAGACTGACTGCCGTTTAGCAAGGCGAGAGTCCTATCGATGTAGCGACAGGCTTCTTCTTTCTGCAAGCTAAGCGGCCTATCGTCAAGCTGATCGTCGAATACAAAAAGCTAGAAAGTGGTGGGTACATATCACGCAGGCTCACGTTGGTGTAGCGTCGGGCACTTACCCAATTGAACCAATCGGTAACGGTCCTCAACTTGACAGGGTCTGCCTTTAGAAGAGATACGGCGGCGAAGTGCTTAAAGTCGCCTTGTCGCATCCTCTTGGTCTCGTCTTTATTATATCCGCATTTCCTAAGAACTTAGCGTCGGCCAATGTTTTTGGCTAGCTCACTTACTCGCTAGCCCAAGCTAAGGTTTCGTCTCGCACCGTTTCAAATTAAGGATTCACTTTCAAAGCGCGAAAGAGGAAAGATTCGAAGATGTCGCGGATAACGACTTGAGAGTTGGAGTTATCTATCTTGATAAGTTTGTCTAAGGACGGACAGCTCTCGGGGGAAAGCGTCTCTTCATATTTATCGCTTGAACGGCTATGCTATCATCTCTCGATAAGCTGGCAATAATTAGGAAGTTTTTTAGCTGCGAAGTTTGCGATCAGCTGCATGTCTAAAATTCGGATTGGTTGGGTATCGCTCACAATTCACACCGATCCATGCCGAGCTGGTATTACCAATGCAGACATTCCCTTCGCCAACAGCAGCTTTCTGTACTCGTCAAAACATGATATGATATCAAGCTTGGTAGGCCTATATAATTCGGTGCAGAAGTGACGCCGGCAGTGTCTTCATCTACCCGACTGGGGGCCGAGATTGGGTTTCCTGCATGTGTGAGATACCTACCGATAGCCCGGGCCGACATCGATGTTGTACTTGGAAAAGTCAATTGGACATCGATAGCTCAAAATTGCGATACACATGAGAATTAGGAATTGTGTTCCCTCACCGACGTTTCGGCAGGCGGAATGGGTGATTGGAAACACGGTACCACAACGCCAACGACTTGTTATCTTATGATTCGGCTACGAATTTCGAGGGAGGGAAGAGGGTTCAACTAAGAAAACAAGGACTAAAGCCAATTAATCCACGACGGTCTTGAAGTGCCATTCATGCCAGGAAAGAATCAAGATCAATGCCGAAGCCACACGCGGTGGTATCTAATGGCGTCAGTCAAGTGATATCAAGTGTTGGTGGACATAACCGAGATAGTACTGCTTTGCAACGGCAGAGTTTCATCCTCCCATGATCGTATGAACGGTGTTCACCCCAGCCGCCCTGTCAAACTGGATAGCCACAGTGGAATCTGGGACCCAGCATCCGTATCTCGCCTGCCAAACATCGCAGATCATTGGTTCCTGAATGTTCGAAAAATCCAGCTGGCTTGAAGTAGACAGAGAACACTCCCATTGGCATAGATCCTCACTTGCGTCCGCCTCCTTGCCGCAGCGAACCCCATTGCTCCAATCTCTAGTACCATGTTCCTAAACGTTCCTAGATCCCAAGCATTGCATATGCCGGACGTAAGCTCGATATCAAACTAAAGGCGGCCCAGCTTCATGGCCTTGTTGTCAATCACAGCCAAAAATTTGATAGGACTGCTGCATGCCACGCCGATTATTTGGGTTCCAGTGCATGGAAGCATATGTATGCGTCGATCCTGGAGGTGCCGGCGCTCTCCGCTGCATTGCAGTTCCCCACAAGGTTGGAAGCGACTTGTCCACCTTGCCGTCGTCAATGGCCGTAGACTCCTGGATGTAATCTCTACAGATCCACAGGCCTCTTGGTATCCTCCGAGAGCGACCACTTTGTAGCTCGGAGCAGCACAACTCCAGCATGACGAGGGTAGCGTTCCTGAGATGCCCAGACCTGCGAGTCCCGTTGCTGACGATGAGGATTCTGGTACGCAGCACTGACCTGTTAGCTGGGCCATCATGATTCATTTTGCTGTTTGCTTACCTTGTGATCCGCTGCCCTTGGGCCGTATGCCGAGATGAAAGATCTAGAACAAGGGCTGCTCGTGTATTGGCAGTGCCCGGCTCCGCTGGGCCTTGAGCAAGGAACCACGCAGCACTAGATATTCGATGCAGCTGGATAGAAGCCAGTGTCAAACGAGCCCTCCAGAATATCCATTGGCCGTGTTACTACAGTATCCTGGGCCCGTTTGAAGTTGTGCTTGATGTTGTTTGGCGGGCTCCTAGAGAGGTTTTCATGACTCCAGCGAAGAGGATGAAGGTTGAGAAATGCATGACTGATTGGTGATCATTGGTAGGAGGCCAAAAGCCGAAGGGCTGTGCTCAAAACTCAATGGTCATACTGATGCAACCCAATGACGGGTATAGGGCTTTCGTGTGCGGTTTGAAGATCGTGATCCACAGCCAACCTAGCTGAGATGGTCAAAATAGCCCTTCGGCGTCATCCGGAAGAATTCCATGCGCTCTGACCGTGGGGATTTTTTGTGTTACATACAGATATTGCGGTTGTTGCACAAGCAAAGAAGGGCGATGCATTTGAGCTGTATTAACTATCCAATAAAACAGGCTAGAAATGACGGTGGTGTGAAGACCTGTCATCGATGCAATCCAATGACCTTTCCCTTCCGCTCAGTATTCCCTCATCCTAATAGCAATGCTAAACTCAGCGCGGAGCAGTACTGGGAAAGAACGTCACTCCACTTCCTCCCCATCCCCTTCCCCTTCTTCTTCTTCCTCTAACTTTCTGAGCATCTCCTCGGAGTCCCGGATCAAAAGCTCCAGCCTGTTAATTTCGTTGTTCAAGTTTCGTCGCATCTGTTTCGCCTTGACAGTCTCAGACGCAACCTTCTTGACCTCGGCATCACTCAGCTCGTCGATCAGCTTGTCAGAGAAAACGTCCATCATATCTCTCACGAATCTTTTATTGAGCCCAGTCTTGCAGATGGCATCTATGTAGTGCTTGCTGGAGATAGCGTAGTACGCTTTGAGAATATCGTGGATTTCGTAGACGACTTGGCGATCGTCAGTCAAGATAGCCTTGAGGCTCTCCTTCTTTATTTTGGCTAGTTTTGCGAGTGAGGTGATAGGATTATTTGGGGGCTGGTTTGGAGGTTCGGATTGACGTATGGTCACAGATGTGTTGTAGGGAAGCTGTTGTTGGACTTTGGGCTGGGAGGCGCTTGGGGCTGGAGGCTGCGATTGGAAAAATTCCCCCAGTGATGGTCCTTTTGTAAGCGGAGTAGGCTCGCCAAACCTGGGCTTTGGGATTGAGCATAATGTAGATGGTAGGCTCTCCACGGGTGTCGCAACTGGAGCTACTTTCTCTGTTGTAGCTGCATTAACAGCACTCGGTGCCCGGGAGCAGCTCGCAAATGGATCCTTCATCCGAGATTCCCGATCCTTCTTCCGAGATTCCCGATCCTTCTTCCGAGATTCCTGATCCTCCTTCCGAGATTCCTGATCCTCCTTCCGAGATTCCTGATCCTCCTTCCGAGATTCCCGATCCTCATTCCGAGATCCGTCAAGGACAGAACCTTGCCCGGATGAAAGTGTACTCGGTGTTGCGAAAGTTTTCGGAGAAGAAGCCCAAGCAGCGAAACCTCTTGGTGAATCTGCTTTCGACGTACATGAAGCCCCTAATGGAGAGTTGAAGCAAGAGGGGTTGCTGGAGGCCCCGAGAACTGGCGCTTGAGCTGATGTGGCAGCAGGCATGGTGGCTGTAGCAGCGGCTGGAGTAGTACTCTTCGTACCACTTTGAGAACTTTCCACTTCCGCGTCAGGCTTCGGTGAGCTTGCTGCGATGGAAGAAGGATTTGATAAGCGCTGCGAAGGAGCTTCGAGTCGAGAAAGTGCCGCAATCAGCCGAATAGTTTTGGCCTCTTGAATCTCTTTCACTAACTGCTGATCGCCAGCCATATTCTGCAGTTCCTCTCGCTCGTTTTGTAGGATATCTTTGCAAAAGATCTGAAAGTCCTTCATCTTGTTGGTGACAGCTGCACTTACGAGTGCATAAAGGGTATCGTTGACGTGCTTACTTGAACATGATTGCTCTAAACAGACCCCGACGGTAGTTATAAACATCGTTTTGACCATGTCCAAAAATCCGTGAGTGATTGTTACCCAATTTGCGGTTTGCTCCTCGAAGAGTCGTTCTACCAGCGCGGGTGGGATGACACCAGGAATCGTGTTCCATTTGGTAGACTGATAGCGGGCATTGATCCAACTGTAAATATTGTCCGTTCCCTGGAAGCTAAGCGATGCAGCTGCCAAATGGGCGGCTTCGTCGATCTCCATAGATGGAGTCTGGAAGGCCCGTACTGCACCCAGATCTCGTAAAGGTATGCTGAATTCTGCGCTCTTAAGTGAGGCCAACTTTTTATACAGCGGGACTGGATTCTCATCATATTGTGGTACGTCGCCGAGATAGATTGATTTTGGCTGCTGGTAAGCAGCCACGATAGTCTTCAAGAATTTTCGTTGTTCCTTCACAGAAGATCTGACAGGTCCAAGTGCTTCCAGTTCTTCTTTCTTCCGGACCAGCTTGTCACGAGCTTGCTGATTCAATTTCGGGAAGTTGTCCATGAGGTGGACACAGAAGACGTCGCTGAAGCGGTCACGTAGTCCTTCGACGCCAACGCTGCTCAACGGAGTACCAGACCTGCGGAAAAGCCAAGCCGCGAAGAGATTGTCTCCATTAGAAGCCGCACGTGGAAGGCCATCTACATCTTTGGGAACTTCCCATCTGACGCTCGAGCAATTCTGCACAGCTTGCCAACCATGTCGCAACTCTTTTTCTTCGTTTCTAGCACGCAAATAGGCCTTCAAAATATAAGCACAGGGATCGAATTAGCAACAGTTGACTCACAGGCATGTAGGTCTTTTGATCATGGATCCCCACAAGATCGGATTTCGTATGAACACCAAGGGTTCTGAGGCCTTCGGGGTCTACCTCCTTGGCGAGTTCGAATATATGCTGGCTTTCGATGGTCTTTTCGGTCTCCGCGACGGCGCTAAATAAAATCAGCCAGGTTCTGTTCTGTGCAGAGAGTAGGGTCATAGTACATAATCACAGTTCGCTTGTCCTCGATCAAACATTTCACAATCGATTCAGCCATGCTAGCATTCGACTTGTCAAGATCTGAGCGTGTGGCGCTCCTTTATCAGTGATGCTGCCTTCGGCTCTTACGGTGAAGAATTTACCTGACTGGAGACCTGGAGTATCCCAGAAAGTGATGTTCTTATGATTTGGACTTTGAACTTCAACCCGCAAAACATGCTGCGAGATTTTGGCAGGTGGGCATTCGCTCCCCTCGACAAGGTCGCGTGTGAAGAGCGGCGGAGGTACATCAAAGATCTTGGAGGCCTTGTACAAGCAAGTTAAATCTCTATCGATGTGAAAGTGATAATAGTGCTTACTTCTCTCAACATATTCTCGAACTGAAACCGTGTCATGGGCCCATCGTAGTCATGACGTGTGCCAAATTCTTTAAAATCTGCGTTATCCTCAAGAATACATCCCTCCTTTTCGCTGAGACGGCATCTCGTGCGGATCCGGGGGTGCTGAAGCAGGGTGATTTCTATGGGGAACCTAGTTCCGTATGCTGTGGCGATGGGCATGGGGAGACCCGTCAGGTTCTCGAGGAGGCTCAATTTTCCACAGCCTGCATCACCAGCAAGAACGAACTGCAGAGCATCAGCATTTGTTTGGCGTCCAGCTTCGAGGAGAGGCCTACTCTTGGCATCTTCAGATCAGCCCCCAAACCGAGTTCCTCGTACATGTCCACAAGCCTCATAGCTTTCTTATACAAATGCGCTGTTTTCATTGATTCTCCGATGTCAAGTTTATTGAAGTCAGCAAATTCTATCGGATGTATTGAAACGCTTGGGTGGCAATGATCTAAAACTCCATCCTCGGATCTCTTCGAAATCGAGGCTGTCGTTGAGGAGGGTGTATCAAGTGGAGAGCCCATGCTTGGGGCAGACTGGTTGTCTTCAGCGTTGTAGATGTTGTCGTCCATCTTCAATGACCTCAGGAAGGATGCAACAGGATGGATGAAGTTGAGCAAAAGCTGAAGTCGACACGGAGGTCAGGGATACAGCTTCGCTTAAAGGCTTTGAGGCTTATTAATAAGATATCGCGGGTGATCAAAACGTGATACACTAGAAGAGGCCCAACTTGTCTTTCAAGTGGCCATTGAATATGATAGTGGGCAAAGAATCCAGAGAGATGCAACATCTCTTGCTTCTTGCGTCTTGATATCCACAAGGAAAAAAAATTGCTCAAAGAAACGTCTCGATAGATCTATCCGCATTTGCCCCGTTCTACCCATAGAAAGCAAAAGACAGATATCAGCTGTTGAGTTTGCCTCAAAATTCAAGATAGAATAAGAATACATGCTACTTCGACTAAGGTACGTATGTAGTACGGTATCTACACCACCTTAACTCTGTGAAAATATACAGTAAAAGACAAAGGCAAAAGATAATCATATGAGGGCCGCGCCGGGATCGAAGATGTTTAAAAACTGAAAACAATTACATTAGCTTTTGTAACGCGGGATAAGGTTTATAGGACTGGTTACTGCAATGTGTACCTATTGCAGGTCTGCTTTTGCACAACAGCTTTGTATGTTGCCTCTTTTTACGATAGCAAGTAAACCCTTAGACAAGATAGAAAGCAAATAAAGCCGAGAGAAATAGTAGGAGACAAACAGAATCAAAGTGGCACCGCTTCTCTCAATAGTAGCAAAGCAAATGATAAATCGGTACTACCGATATCGACCTTTAAGAGGCTACAGCCCCACGCAACCTTTCTCTCTTACTACGTCGCAGGCGTAAGTATTACCCCTCGAGGGTAGGGAAAACAGGGGGTTTAAAGTGGAAGCTAAACTTTTAAGGCACCCTCGAGGGGTAATACTTAGGCCTGTACCGTGGTATATGTCTACTTACCTACGTCCATCTTGTCTCCACCTTTCACAATCCCTTGATATATTTCTGGTCTGGAATTGGCTTATCAAAAAATGAATGCCAAAGCTCGTCTCCTCCGAATACCATCCATGCTTCGATACTTGTCCGATCCGGGATCGGGGCAAACGAAGGACTAGCAGCTTCAATGACAATGATCACGACTTTGATCACATATGCAAGAATCACGAGACAAGTAGGGGAATTATGATGTAATTTATTCATATAGGTAGATAGTCGCCGCTGCCGCT